CTGAGAATGATGAGGTAAGGGCAGAAGTGGCAAAGCCAGATTGCAAAGAATGCCATTGTAAGGCACAACTGTTGCCAGTTGTGAACCGATAAAGGTTTTAAGACAATGACATCTGATTTATGTGGTAGAAAAAACAAATTTAGTAATAAAGTGTATGTAAAATGATTGACATATATAGGCAGCATTGTGCAACCAGGATATAAACTTTGTAGTCAGAACTAAGTTTGAATTCGCTCCTATTTCCAGGCTGTGGGATCTTAAGACAAGGTCCACTTGACAGTGAATAGAGCATGACTTAATCATTTTACTTTAGCACCTCGTCCTTCTTAGCTTTATGATGATACTGATGCCTATCTTGGATGCCTGTGGGGGATAACAAGATGACCTATGTTGTCTGGTTGGTACATAGTAGGCACTGACATTAGATAGGGGACTAGATGAGAGACAGTGAGGTCAGTCACCGTCTCAAAGGGACTCCCATTGATCCTACTCTTCCAGCAGAGTGGGACAAGCTCCCCGTGTGCCTTACTTATTCCCCACTGTACTATTAACTTTTCTCGTTATATATTCAGTTATGTATTAGTATTAAGTTATGAAGCAGTGATGAGTATTAGGAAATTGGCAGATTCTCTGAAAGCAATCTGATGAAATAGCTATTGAATGATAGAACGAGGTGTTTCTCCTGAAATGTAATGTTAGATTCTGTTTTGTACATCACAAGGCTTTTGTTCTAAGGGAACATGACTCCCAGTAGCAAGCATATGTGCACCCATCCTTTAAAACATTTTTCTTAGCATTATGAGTGATAGGATGCACTTTCTAGGCTATTCTAAATGTTTGCGAGGGGAGCAAAAGTACACGAAAGTCCTTTTTCCTTCCCACTGATCTTAATTTGCAGAGGAGAGTTTAAGTGCAAGGTGAATCCTGTGTGGGTTTTTTGTTTTGTTTTGTTTGGAGCTCAACATTATGCAGGTAAATGGAGCATTGTGAACAGAACTGGTTGGAGCCTGAAATCATCACATAATTACTGCATTACACTTTAAAAGTTAACCTTTCTGAGCCTTAGCTTTCTCATGTGTAAAATAATAAGGCTGTTGAAAGGAGAAAATAAAAATAGCATTATATAGAGTATAGGGCTTGGCATTTTTTTAGACACTCAGTAAATGTTCATTATACATGTGCAAAACTGAATCTTTTTCTTTGCTCTTTTGGGCTGGAACAGTGTGCCTTGAATACTACAGTTTTTATTAACATAAGAAGTGAAACTAACATCTAGAGACATTATACAGCTTTTAAAAAATGTGTATTGTTCTGAATACTCTTAAAGGCAGCACACCTTTTAGGTAAATTTTATTTAGAGATGTAACCAAGCCATTTAGAGACAAGCGTGTAAAATGAATTGGAAAGGGAAGTTGGTTGTAATCCTCATTTTCATCCACTGGGTACAATCACAAAGTAACAGGAAAGCATGTTCTCAGTGGCTTGTTCACTCATTCTAAAGGAAATTACAAGATATATTTTATTGGAAGGAACTGTAAAGTGACTACATTGAAGAACAATCAGTTCTGTGTAGAACAACTACCTTTTATGTTTATGTATTACTTTTAAATTTCACTCAATATTGCCAACATTAAATATTATATTGTATTATTCAGATATAGTGAACAATTATAATGATTCATTTATTTAAATATCTCACTTCTAGTTCCTCAAAATAAATTTTATGGATCACTGGTGAGGATAAAATTGCAGACTCTAATTCACATAGAGGTTCTCTTTTTTTCCCTCATTCCTTTCAGATGGATAGTGGCTATAATACACAGAGCTGTGGAAGCAATATTATGGATACAGTTGGGACAGAAAGTTACTACAAAGAGAGTGATACACAAACGTTTGAAGTCGAGAATAGATATCAAGTTTTTAATATAAAGGTACGGAAAAAATATAGACAGACTTAAATATTGTTATAGTTTTTACTAAATGTGACTCTTCAATCTATTTTTCCTTCATTGTTCCAAGTTTTGATAATTATCATCTGTTTATGCCTCATCCTGTCTTCAGTTCATTTGACACTGAGAAGGTGGTTTTTAAATCAAAACACTTCATTTTTCTAACTCTTTCACAATGGAAGAATGTAAAAGAAGAGCCAGTAGGAGAGGGGGAACTAGCTCTACTTCAGAATGGTGCTTCAAATCAGTTCCTTAAAATTAAAAGGAAATAGGAAAGTCAGAGATTTTTTGCCTCTATTGATGTCTAATGTTGCCGTTGTTATCTTTGAAATATTTCAAAGACATCTCAAAGCCAAACATAAATAATTTTTTTTTTCCTTTTTGTCTTTTTTACTGACCGGTAACGGGATCGCAACCCTCGGTGTCGCACCCGTACCAGGGACCGGCAACGGGATCGCAACCCTCGGTGTTGTGCCCGCACCGTGCTCAGCCAGTGAGCAGGAACCGGTCTCCACATGGGATCCGAACCCTCGGTGGGAGCGCCGCCGCGCTCCCAAGGCCGTTGTTATCTTTGAAATATTTCAAAGACATCTCAAAGCCAAACATAAATAATTTTTTTTTTCCTTTTTGTCTTTTTTACTGACCGGTAACGGGATCGCAACCCTCGGTGTCGCACCCGTACCAGGGACCGGCAACGGGATCGCAACCCTCGGTGTTGTGCCCGCACCGTGCTCAGCCAGTGAGCAGGAACCGGTCTCCACATGGGATCCGAACCCTCAGCGGGAGCACCGCCGCGCTCCCAAGCAGCGCACTCTCCAGTGCGCCACTGGGCCGGCCCCCAAACATAAATAATTTTGATTGTTAGAGAGGGAACCAGCACAATTAAGAGACTACATATCAAATTAAAAACACTAAAAGGTAAAAACTCCAGTGACCTTTAAGATTTTGGTTGCTCTGAATGAGGTAAGTATCTTACATACTATAGTGTTTGTACAAAGGTGGTATACTTTTGATTAGGACATTTACCAAACCTTCTAGATATTACGGTTATAACTATATATTTATCCTTGAAGAAACCCATCATAATTTTAGGCACTAGTTAGGATGTTCTTTGGTTTTATATGCCAACTTATTAATAAACACTATAAACATGAGCAAATGTGCAACCGAACGTACCTCTCCAAATGAAGTTTAATAGGAAGACCATCTTATTTTTCCTTCCCTCCATTTTGCCTTTGTTATATATAGTATCAGAGTGGGACTCTTCTAAGATTAACTTGAACAAAGTTGATTCTGATAATCCATCCCATTTCAAGAGGTAGGACTGCAGTTACCTAGTAGGCATTAAAATATAGGAAGGATTCTGTTTGATACAGAATATTGATTTGTAAAATAAAAAAAATGGAAAACATGTTTACTGTCCCTTTAGAGTTCAGCTAAAAAAATGTGCATTCAGGTTTTAAAAACAGTTCACATAATAGTTGCATCCTTGAACGGTCCTATTTGAACTGAAATAGTTTTCTTCTTTTTCACAGCAAGACCACACAACAGAGAGGTGTTGGATGAAAACAGCAAATCCTTCTTGATGCAGCAATCCATGGAATACCTCCATCAAAACCAAAGATTATTGCTGAATAGCTCTTTGCATATTTTTGTGCACAGGATCAATAATGTAAAAGTGATTGGGAAAAACTGACTCAAGTAACATGCTTAGCTTTTTTTCTTTCCCTCCTTAATGTGAAAAATAAAGGGCTTAATTTAGTGACATAGGAACAACAGAAAAGCTCCTGGAACTTTAAGTTAATGAGTTACAACTTTTATAATAAATATTTTTATACTTACCTTGAGTGATGTGTTTGTTTAACAATAAAACATTGTGACAGAGCTGACTGCTCCTGTCCTCCAGGGTCAATGAACTGCTCATTAAGCCTTACTGACAGCACTGAATTTAGCAGTTCTAAGAACATGTGAAAATATGTTAAAACTGAAGGCACTATATATTTTTATATAATTACTTGTGAACATACAGATGAATTTAAATTATAACCTATGTGAAAGAAATCTTATTTAAACAGGTTTCCTAAAATTTTAATTCCTGAACCATTTGCTCATTTCTGTGGGGAAAGCTCATAGTTCCAGTGACTACTCTAGTTACTTTAAAAAACTTAACTACTAGAAAGGTAGTACTAACGGTATCATCATATGTATTATCTGTGGGATGCCCAGAATAAAATATACCTCTGTACCTGGGGCAGGGACATCCTCCCAGCTCAAACTTGGCTAGGGAGAGGAACAAGAACATGGGCGAACAGGAGAAACACTGGGGACTGGGGGACAGTAGAGTTCCTGTAGTCCTAAACCTATGAATTAACAGTCAGGCAGATATGTAAGTTAAATACAACAGTTTCTTTAAAAACTTTATTGCCATGTTGGGAGTAGATGGGTATATAACAAGTTTGGAAATATCTTTAGATAATGTATGTTTGTATTTACAAATCACCTTTTAAAAACTGTCTCATTCAAAAGGGAATGAGGGCTATATTCATATATAGCCCTTAGAAATAAAGATGTATTATCACTGTGTCGTTTTCTTTCTTACTCCGTACCTTGTAAGCTTATTGCTAACCTACAAAAAATGCTTCTTGTGTGCCTGGCTCATCCTCTTCACCAACATACCATGAAAGCCACGAGGCCCATGGCTGAATATACTGCATTAGGAAGTTGAGTTTTTAATCACAGAGGCTTTGGACTCAATACAAATCTACCTAAAACTAACTGCTGTACTTAAGAGTTCTGTCCTAAGAGTAGGCACTTCCCTGGCTATGATTCTTTAATAGCACAAGTCAAGAAATAAAGAACAAATCAGTGATTATAACCCAGATTTAAATCCTCCTGTCACTTACTACATGATATGGGCCATAAACCTCACTTTTTTCATCTGTTAAATGGGGATAATAGTCCTGCCTCACAGGGCTTTTTGAGTTTTAAGTGAAATGTTCTGTGTAAACTACTTAACGTAAGTTAGTGGCACTAGAAATGACACATTTTAGATTACCGAAGAGGCCTAAAGGGGAAAAACAAAGTTTCAATCATCTTGAACTACTCAATTGGGACTAATACCTGAATTAGGCCTTTCTCATAACTGAGACACAAGAAAACAAACTTGGGAAAATAAGACATAAGGTCAGTCATAACCTGACTTTATCAAGAAGTCCCCCTTTCCCTCTACTGCAGGTAAACTCTGACCTGTAGGCAAAGAATTTTTAAATGGTTGACAGGGAAAAAAATGAGTGATATTTTGTGGCATATGAAAATTATATTAAATTTCCATGTCCATAAATAAGGTTTTGTTGGAACACAACCATGTTCATTTGTTTGCATACTGTCTATGACTGCTTACAATCTGTAAGCAACAGAGTTGAATACATAGCTGCAACGAAATAGAGACTATCATCAACAAAGTCCAAAATGCTCTGGCCCTTTACAGAAAAGGTTTCTGACTAATGCTCAAGTGTGCAGTCACTGATCCATTTTATTTTTAAACCAAAGATTATTCAAGGCAGGCCAGCCCGTGGCTCACTCGGTAGAGTGCGGTGCTGATAACACCAAGGCCACGGGTTCGGATCCTATATAGGGATGGCCGGTTTGCTCACTGGCTGAGCGTGCTGCTGACAACACCAAGCCAAGGGTTGAGATCCCCTTACCGGTCATCTTTTAAAAAAAAAAAAAAAAAGATTATTCAAGGCTATCTTCCTTCAAGTGAAACAACTATTGCCTCATGTATGCAGCTTCCTCAGTAACAGGAAACTAGAAATATCATTAAACAATTAAGTGCCTAAATGAGTGCAAATATTGTAATTCTACCCGTTTAGTATACCTGCTGATTTATTTGCTAGTCTTTTCTCATTGCACTGTAAGCTCCTAGAAGGCAGAGACAGTTGACCTGTCTGGTGATGAACCTGGTACAGTCTTTAGAAACTGAATTAGCAGGTAGGGTTGAAGGTGGGGGTGAAGTGGTAGATTAATAGGTACAAAGCTGTGCTATCTACCCTATGTACAGCACATATTGAAACAACACACTGTACCCCCAAAATATGTACAATTAAATGTTAAAATTTTTTAAAAACAAAAAAAACTGAATAAGCAAAGTCAAATGTTGAACCGTATTCCAAAATATTCTTGAAAATATCAATTTAATCAATACTAGTCTTTGTGGTTAGTAAGAGAAGTAGTCAATCTGGCACACCAAATTGTAATACTAATTTTAGTCTGTTCCCTTTAATATGTCTTTGTACCATCATATATAATCTGATACAATTGCCATTTAGTAGCCATTAAATATCTGTTTTTTATAAGTAACAAGATGTAGACATTTAAAGTGTCATCTCTATTGTTTAACCTCTAATGCCCTATTTTGGGAAGACACTGGAGCTGAAGGTCAAGAGTAATCACACTTATTACCTGGTAATTTAAAAAAAAAAACAAATCAACCATTTTTCCAGTCAGGTCAAAATATCCAACTTCTTACCTTCCTACTAATTCTCAAACATTCATAGCTATTCAAGGACCATTAATAAAGAACAGGAGGCTTTTTAACCCAGCAAGGAAACATTTAACATACATTAGGTAAATTAAAGATAGCAAAGGAGATGATGTACCAAACACTGACAGCTTTCAAGATTTAGAAAAAAGATGTTGTTCCTTGCTTCTAAAAATGTTCTGTCTTCCTCTGTAAGAAAATAATGTTTATTTCTTACCAATATTAAATAATCAAAGTACTTATGCAAAATTAATCTCCTCAATAAGCAGATGAGTTCTCCACTTAAATGATCTTTGCAGATCCCTGAAGTTGCTATCCTGTCACTATTGAAGTGATGACATTCAATTGAATTTTTCTGCATAAATAGTTATGTTCAATCCAGAAATGAAGATGAGACAGACACAGTCAATAGTTCAATAAAAATGCAAATTTCTAAAATTATTAAAATGTACTTAGTAACAAACTATCCAAACTTCGGCTTACAAGTGTTCGCTCCATTTTTTTTTTTTTTTTTTTTAAGAAAACCGTAATAACTTCGTATAGCATACATTATACGAAGTTATACGACAGGTCTGCTCCTGTTTCTTCTGACTCGCTTCAGTGCTCTTTCTGGTGTTCTGCCCTGCTTGGTTCTTTATCATCTCTCTTGCTCCTCCATTCTTAAGTCAATGCCACAGAAATATATTAATGGAAATATTCTTCCTGTTTACACAGTACTTTCTCTCTGGCTCATCAAGGTCTGTGTTTGAGATATCAGTAGGAATGCCTATTCCTGGTATCTAAAGTAATGCAAATGGAGAGAAATAAGGTGATTAAAAGCATAATATAAAAATTCATTGCCACTTTCAAGTTTAAAGGGATGTACAGGTAGAGAGGTGGAAAAAGGGGTTAATAACAGTTTTACAATCAAGGTAATTAACAACAGTTCTGAAATGTAAAAGGAAGACATGGTGGTCTCAATAGCTGAGAAGCATGACATTGGGAAGTGTGTTTTTAACTATAACACAGCTGTCCCCATATCCAATTTACCCACTGTGATTGATAGAGAGCATCAGAGGCCTTAGGCATTTGGGCAGGACAAAGGTTAAAAAAGGTTAAAAACCATTATCTTAAGTGAAACACCTATACTTTATCTTCCAAGGTACAGATTTTAAAAGTACTAGAGAAAAAGGATGCTACAGAACTGAAAGACCTTTGATTTTGGCACCAAGGACCTCAAGAATCTCAGATATCTGATATCCTATGGCCTAGGGAATCAGTGAGAAAACAGGATTTGCTAGGCAAATATTTTGTCTCCACAATACTTAAACAAGATTCATTAAACAAATAACATAACTATATCCCTCTCTTTAACAAAATATGAACTATTGTGCAATCACAACATGGAAATTATAAGTTTGGTCTTACCTGTGGTTCTATGAGGGACATTCGGATTTTCTGATGCTGAAGATTAGATGAATCTAACATAATTTTCACTTTAACTTTATCAAATATATGGAACACTGTATCTTCTATTTTAAGTGAAGGTACCTAAACAAAACACATTTTATCATTCTTAATCGCTTTCTTACATCTGAGGCTTTGTTCTAATTCTTTACAGTTTATCTTTCATAGTAATTTAAAGTTTAAATTTAAAAGTAATTTCAATATTAAGAAGCATTTATGTGTTCAACTGAACAAAAACAACTAACCTGGTAGTTGCACATAAATATGGCCTATTTATGTGCATACTTCCTTCTTTCATTAAGGTAGTCCCTGGGCCGGCCCGGTGGCGCACTGGATAGTGCACCACTTGGGAAGCGCGGCGGCGCTCCCGCCCGAGGGTTCAGATCCCACATACAGACCGGTTCCCGCTCACTGGCTGAGCGAGGCGCGGGAGCAACACTGAGGGTTGTGATCCCGTTGCCAGTCCCCGGTCCGGTACGGGGGCAACACTGAGGGTTGCGATCCATTGCCGGACACGGAAAAAGACAAAAGACAAAAAAAAAAAAGGAGTCCCAATACTTACTCATTAATCTTGGGATTCTTACCCCACTAATTAGCAAATTGTTGGTCTAACAGAGGAGCCACAAAGGTACTTCAGGCAGAGTCTATTATTTAAATATTCTCTCAGAGCTGTAGTTCTACCAAGGTTAGGGGAGTAGGGAGTATGTCAGATAAGAGACACTGGAAGTAAGCTAAAATAAAATTTCCTTCCCTGAGCTATAAGCAGCCATTTATTATTTTACTTTAATCTATCTGTCCACCTAGGGCAAAACTTTACATGGTATAAAAGAAAGAAATCAAGGACATATGCATATGGGAAGATATACAGAGGTGAGACATTGTGAGTAAAACCAAAGTTTAGCTGGCATAATTAAATGGAGATTTTCTGGCCTGTATTTAGAGATTTAGGATAAATTCTGCAGGGTACAAAAAATAATTTCATGCTTTATAGGTACCATTTGCAAACTGTCAAAGAAAAAGTGCCCCCTCGTCCCCCCAAAAGAAAACAAACATTACAAATACTGTACCTCATCATCATAAATAAGCCGTGGCTTTGGTCTGTCCTTTTCTTCAAAGAAGACTGTACCTTCTAAACCGTACTTGGGAATTAACACCACAATAGCGTTCTTTCTTACAAATAGAATATAGGCTTCCTCACTTACTATTCCTTTGCTTTTGAAAAATAACTGTAAAATAACAAACAGCTTCATTAAAAATAATCTTAAAATATTTTAAAATTAACAAAAACATATTTTGAAATTAAATAAAAATGAACAAAACTTCATTTCTCTTAGCATTATCAATAGAAAGCAAATACCTGGGTATGAAAAGCCACTGATGCTCGTTGGGCATATTGAGCCATTTTGTGCCTGAAGTTGAGATTTTTACATATATCTGCAAGCTTGTGTTTGTCTGTCAAGTCTGGATAAGTACAGTCAGCCCCAATAGCCACAGCCAACAGCCGATGAACAATGATGTCTGCGTATCTAGACGTATGAAGGAGAAATAAGAACCATGGTACATTAGTATTAAAATGTCTCTTCTAAATTCAAAATTAACTATTTTCTATCCCCTTTAATTTCATAAAGAAAAAATACCTTCTGATGGGTGAAGTAAAATGTGTATATATTGGGGATGCTAAGCCATAGTGATGAAAATCATTATCCATTCCAGAACAGAAGTACACAGCTTGCATCATACAGCGAGTGGCTAATATCCTTAACAGAGTGTTTAGATAGGGGAAAGTAGGAGATTCAGCTCGGTCCAAAGACTCAGCCAAAGACTTTGCTGTATCAGTCTTAATTTCCAAATTCTATGCATAAAAAGGAAGGAAAGAGCACCATATTAAACATTTCTACATCAGTACCATCATGTCTTCAAAATGTAACTAATGAGATTGAACAAATATAGTGTTTTTGACAAGATAATCCATTTATATGTTTTATCCTTAACCTAGGAGAACTAAAAATAAGTTTATAAAAAGAAATGATTGTTTTGTACCACACCAAAGTTTAAAATCTTCTGAATACATTTAAAGGTACTAAGTATCAAGAGTTTGAAGGAGTTTCAAGAGGGAAAGGGATGGTGGTATCAGCAGTGCTGTTTCTCAAAGTCCAGTCTGTGCCTGCCTAATCTTTGTGAGATTGGAGAAAATCAAAGCAGATCTGGATAATTTTCAGCATGTCTGGATTTTCTCTGTACATATTTTCCTTCCACTCAAAGTAGAAGTGAAGGCCAAAAACAAAACTGTACTGGTCACTACGGCTCAGTCAGAACACCCATCTGATTCATTAAATTTAGTGTCTTTGTTTTACCTTAAGGAGATGAGTCAGAAATATTTACACCATCCTTCCTCTCCCCAGGTCTTAGGCAGAAATAAAACAATGAGAAAAAAATCCCCCAATTTACAGAGTAAGTTTTGGAGCAGAGGAGTGAGAAGCTGTGCAGTTCTGATGGTTATGGTAGGAGCGGGCACACCACAAAGGTCTGAGCCAAAAGTAGAAACCAACACTACTGTGTTAGAATAACGCCCCAGGAACCAGTACTACTCCTTCCAGCTCTCTTCTAGGCAGGAAAGATGGGGCCTGACCAGGTGATCCAAGGAAAAGCAATGTAAGCCACAGTCTTCCCAGAGGTAAAAATGCCTAAATGAAGTCTACTAATGAGAGGCAGAGGGTATGGGGACTAAGAAAATGGTGCCCTTTCTATATTTTTCCTCTTTTCCATGTATGCAATAAACAGACATCTCTCTTAGAGAGATGACATAAAAAGGGCTTACTTGAATTGAAGTAAAGAGAAAGAAAACAAATTTGTAAATTTCTGAAATTAGGCAGTTTATAGAAGTCCTAAAGCAAAACAGGCATTAAAAAAGTATAAAAGCACAGAGATGAAGAGCTTTTATATGCCTAGGACATTGCAAAAACTTAGTCAACAATATCCACCTTTAGCATAAGGTGCTCTTTAAAGACATTAAAGGAGTTTTTTAGGCAGATGACTTCAATGTAGGAAGAGATGACCAAACCCAAGTTAGATGTTCTTTTTTGTTTGTTTGTTTTCATCAAAAGTACTGGCAAATTCTCAAATCAAGAAACAATGAAACCTTTAAGGAGATTTAAATATAAATTATTCAGTATAATGGATAGATCAAAACACAAATACAGATGATTTCTCAAACTACAGGACCCTACCTTGGACTTAGCTGCCTTAACAAGAATTTCATAATTTGATGGAGGTGGAGCAGGATGTTTTCGAAGCAGAGCATGTTCAGAAAATTCTTCATGAATTTTCTTTGCAACAGAGATATTGGCAAGTAACATAAATTCTTCCACCATGGAATTTGTTTCTCTGCCAAAGGAAAAAGCGTTTAACAAGGTAAGACAATCTGAGACTTCAATATATCATATTTATTCACAAGTTATCTTTTCTACCCACAAGATAATAGAAGCATTTCCTATGTAAACATTCAGGTGTATGTATGTGTACATTTGTAATTTTAATAACTTATGGCTCTTGCACTTCTCAGCAACTGTGTTAATCTCTTATTATGCATCTACTACATGAGTAAAGCTTATATGCTATAGGAGACTTTAGAAACTGTCTCCTTTTATTGATTCCTAGATAATTTATTATTTTGGTGACTAATGTAAATGATCTTACTTTCTTGATTTCTTTCTGTTAGTTCATTATTGAAGAAAATAAACTAAAGTGATTTGGGGACATTGATTTTGTATCCTGTAACCTTACTGAATTATCAATCAGCTATAACAGTTTTTGATAGTCTTTAGATTTTTCTATATATAGGACCATGTCATCTGCAAATAGGGACAGTTTGACTTCATCTTTTCCAATCTGGATGCCCTTTATTTCTTTCTCTTGCCTGACTGCTCTGGCTAGTACCTCCAGTACTATGTTAAATAAAAGTGGTGAGAGTGGCCTATTAATACCTAAAATGCACAGGCTCTCCCGAGCTGGGGCAGTAGGGGGCCGAAGGCCTCGGCCACACAACCCGGACACCCACAACCAGCCCTGCGAGGACAACCAAGCTGCTTCAAGAAGCACCCTGGGCTCCTGAGCTGGGATAGTCGGGGGGGGGGGGTAAGGGCTTCAGCCACACACCCCCTGACATCTGAACCCAGCCCAGCAATGACGAGACAGTCCTGGAAGCCCCCTGTTCTCCCCTGCAAGAATGAGGGGGTTGCCACAGGCCTCAACCCCGCACCTCCCCCTTACGCCTTCTCCCACCTTATTTCCTTTCCCTTTCCCTCTACCCCTCCCCACAACTGCTCCGTAATAACATCATAGAAGGTAAAAAAATAAACTTAAAAAAAAAATTAAATGAAAAGTAATAATATATAAAATCCAAAAGATTAGCATTTTCTAATCTGAAGTCTAGAGAAACTTCTATTTAACTATAAATCCATAAAAATAAAGTTTACTAAGAAGAATTAAAAGCCATATAGGTCATATAAACTTCGGCTTAAAAAGTTAAAACTTCACCAATAAATCAGTAAAATGAAGATATCGTATTTACAATATTCAGCACACCGTCGCCGTGTACTCGCCCGTGGCCGCACCACCTTCCTGGAGGGGCCGAGGCCGCGGTGGGCGAGCAGAGGGCCAGGGCGCTGGAAGGACAGCGAGGTCGACCACCCGCGAGGCCCCAAGGCCCCCAGGAGGGAGAGGCGGCGGCGGTGAGGAAGGTGTCCCAACGGCCGGCCACGGTCCCAGGAGGACCACAGAGAGGCGTGGGAGGAGCCGGGAGCAGCCCGCCAAAGCGTCTGGGCTGCAGCAGCGGGAGGCCCAGGGAGGCGAGGCTAATTTGGGTACTTATATGAGCCAGACATTAAGCTCTAAGTTTATACACACACATACACCCCCTTCCCCCACACACATATATACCCTGTTTTGCAGGTAAGAAAACTGAGGATGTGCAACATTGTTTTCTTGCTCAAAGGTAGAGTTATTAGCAGTATCAATCAAATCTACACAATCTGACTTTAACCAATCTGATAATGCTTTCATTCTATATATAATTATTCTATATACGTTTTAAGGTTAGTTTGGGAAATGGTCTGCCTTATATTTGTATTGTGCTTTTGTCTCCCAAGACACTGAACATGCATTACTAATCTTTCATTCACATTTCCATTTTTAATAATAACATTTTGTAACTTCTTAAAAAGATTTCTAAAGTATATTAAATTTTAAAATATTAGAAAGACCTCTAATCATATGGGGGCAATCTCTTAGAAATGTGGTTTTTCCTCTTCTTGAAATGGGCGATGTTGTATTTTTGCAAAGCTAGAGTCAACCTTTTCCTCACAAAAGTTCCTAGTATTGGGCTTACTGTTAGTATTAACATTAGACATATTTATACCAGAAGTTCCCTCCCTTAAAGAATTTTTTAGTATTAGCTCTAAAGTTCTAAAGCATATACTAGTCTTAAATAAAAAATCTGAGTACAGAACCATTTTTAACCCTTGGACATCTAGAAAAGTGTATGTGAATGTTTAATTTCAGAATTACCTTATACAAGAGGCATGGAAAGAAGCCTAAACTCTGATTTAACCAAAAATACCCTGGTTTCCTAAATCTTAACTAAATCAATAAAACAATAAAAATAGCTAATATCTGTATACTCTTCATAACACCTTATGAGGTAGATACCATTATCAATCACAGACAATTTACAAACAAATAAATTGAGGCAGAGAGGGGTGTCAAATAACTTGTTGAAAGTTGTATAGGTAATAGTGCAAGAAATGGGATCCAAACCTAGAGTGTATGGCTTCAAAGTGTATGGCTTTGGCTTAAAAAGTTAAAACTTCACCAATACACTCTAGGTATGGATCCAAACCTAGAGTGTATAGTCTTGATCACTATTCTATCCCACCACAGTATATTCTATACTAAATACTTAAGAAATTAATCAGGGTAGGGCTGGCCAGTTAGCTCAGTTGGTTAATGTGTGGTGTTATAACATCAAGGTCAAGGGTTCAGATTCCTGTATAGGCCAGCCACAAAAAAAAGGAGGAAAGAAAGAAATGAATCAGGGCGATTTTCTTTTACTAGTCAAGTTCTGATATATCATACATTAAAACAAACAAATTCAAATTGAAGAATTTTCTATTATACCCCAGTTTTATACAAGAAAAACTAAAAAGACCAAATATGCTTTTCTACATGTTTCATAAGCTAAGAAAATCTATAAAAATCATAACTTTAATAGAAATAGGTATTCTGGATATAAATGACTTGGTTATTAATATATACTAAACATTACATTTAATATCAAAATCTTATCTCCTGTCGATCAAAAAAACTGCATACCTAAGTTCCTTGGTCTGCAGATCTATAGGATCATGAGTTTCACTGTCCATGTGGAATCGAACTTCAGGAGAAGAAAGGGTTAAAGCCCTAAATAAAAATTAAAGAGGGAAATTAGCCAAGTGAGCCAATAACAGAGACAAAATTCTGGAAATAATTATTTTAAAAATAGAAAATGACTATATCAAGTGTGTAGCAGTTGTTGTTCTGAAGGCTTTATGACTACCTGCTAAGTTTTATGTTCTGTTTTCATGAATAAATTAGTATTTTAGAGATTTAAAATGCATTTAATAAGAGAGCACCACAGCAACACAAAATCTGAGTCCCTGTATTTCTCAGAGTTTGAATATCTCTTGTACTCAAACTATTAGTTTATAATGAGCTACATAGGTTTGTAATCACTTTTACAAATAAAGAAGGTGACAGTATTTTATTTACTACAAAAAAAAAAAAAAGGCCAATGTATGGATGTGGACAATGGTCAGGAGCAAAAGGAAAGCTGCCATAGGTAGGTTGGTAACATCAGAAGATCCACAGTTCAAAAGAATCTTCTACAAAGATTAAACCAACAGAGCGAAGACTGACAAACCGCTACCACTAACAAGTTACAAGTACTGATAGCTGTTAACATATTAGGGTGCTATGTGTCATATAACACACTATGCTAAAGCCTTTACATGTACGGTTCATTTAATGAGTTGGCAAGTTCTCCTCTGGAAAGTAAATTCCCATGAGGCAAGGAAGTCTAATGTTTCCTTATACCTTGACACTACTTTCATCGGGTCAGCTGTAAATCAACCTAAAACTAAGAATTTTAATTAGGCTGAGCAACCTTGAACAACCATAGAGAAGGAAATAAAAATATGAAGGGAAAAAGGTAAGAAGAGATGGGACAAGTTAATGTGAGGTACCAAGTCCTTTTTTCTCTCAACCCCTCACCTTTATTAAAGGAGCTATAGTAGAAATACTAGAAAGGGAATCACAACAAATACTCCTTTCTTGCCATGCAGAATTTAAGAAAGGTTCTATGTCAGATCTCATATGTGTTTATTACTATAGGTTGACCTAAAATGCAAGGTATACCAATCACATTTTGATAACCCATGAGTATTAATACATTAAAAAGGCAAAAGATGTCATTTCTTTACTGATTATTTTCTCAATTCTCCCTAAAACTGAGAAAACTGAATGGTATATTTTGTTAATATATGACTATCTACTTACACAATTAAAACTAAAGACTGTTTCTGAAGTGAAAAAATATCTTTCCCATTTTTGAGAAGCTATATTAAAGTACATATTCTTACTTTAAAACTGTAAAAAAAAAAAAAAAAAAAAAAATAAATATGGCTTCAATTTGTATTCTATTTACCTGGCTTCTTAAGAAAACTTTTTAAAAATCACCTTTACACAAATTTTCTTCTGATGCCTGGCATACTGTAAACCTTCAATAAAAAAAATGTGCTGAATAATGTGGTGTTTTCTATCATATATGAAAAAATACAATTATATTCCTCTTACATCTAAGTGACAAGCTTGAGCAAAAGCTTTGCCCTCATCTGATAACTTTCACTGGGTTTCAGTGTATTTGAATTATCCTTACACAGTTTCAAATTTCATATTTAGGATCATATGAAAAATTTCCAGAAAAACTGAGGTGTTGGTAGAGACTGGGATGGCCTAGCCTAACGACCTAGAACAACAATGTCCAATGGAACTTTCTGCAGTGATGGAAACATTCTATATCTGCACTAATATGATAGTCATTAGCCACATGTGGCCACTGAGCACTTGAAATGTGGCAAGTCTAAGAAACTAAACTGTCAATTTTATTTAATTTTAATTAACTTAAATAGGCACAGTACAGATTTAGTTTTCATTCACTAACAAAAACACTTTTAGTAACTGCTTGTGACCCTACTCTGGATGAGCATGGGAATCCAGAGACCAAGATCTAAAAGGCTCATGTACTTGGCAACATCTAAAAGGCTCATTTACTTGGTCTCCTCTGATAGCTAATTATGGCTTTTGAGAATCATATTTCTTTTAACTGCTTTCCTTCAACAAGTTTGAGTTAATACTACTTACCCTATGCCTTTTAAAGTTAGGGAAATGCTGTGATATAACAGCTAAAAGACTTGAATCTGACACTAGCTATCAGACCTACGGGAAGACCACTTCCATGTAACCTTTAATTGTTTAAAAAATGAAGGAGTTGGACTAAATAATTTCTAAAATCTCTTCCAACTCTGAAGTGCAAAGAGGACTTCATCTACGTTTATTTAAATTTCTGAAAACCAATGTTCAATCTGGAAACTCATTTCTAATTAAAATTAGAAATAATGCATAGGAATGTAAAGTAGGTCCTGCCTTTCTGGAATTTCTTCAAGATCTTTAACTCACGTCATTTTTTAGCACAACAAATTTACAAGGACAGAACTCGTGAACAAACATCAGTCTAGAACCAAGTTACTAATATTTAAAAGGTAACTAGAAGAAATGGGATGTCTCTACTTGAGTATCTATTCGTTCTATTAAATAGTTCATCATTGCCCTTGATAAAACACTTTGAAGAATCCAAGAATTATCTTAATACTATGATGAATTAAGACATCTTAATAAATATCGGAAATGTACCCTTTTTCAATTCTTCCTTTTTTCAGAATTTTGGCTAGTTTATTTAGTCTGCGGAGACTAGTAGTAATAGCGTCATTCATGGTTGCTGAATCAATTTTCATCTGAGCTTCAGCATAGGTAAGAGAAGCCTAAAAAAGAAACCATACATTAATGTAACTCTCATATATGATGAAAACTGGCTTACTATGTTCTCATATTTCCACTACATAAAATCCATGATTTCAGAAAACCTAGAGTCAACAACAAAAGAGAAATTCACTGCTATCATATTTATACTTCACAATTACGATTTCTCGTTCATAACTCTTACCTGAGGCATTATATAACATAAGCAAACTTACGTAAAACAGAATAAAATGGCAGTACAGTAAATAAATCGTTTAAACTTTAACTACTTTCAAATTTCAGTTAACATATAAATACTCAGATAATGCTAAAATTAAACAAAAAGGCAGGTTAAATCTATTATCTGATAACAACTATAAAACAAAGTTCTTTTGAGATGATAATCACTCCCCTACTCAATGGCAAATAATTAAGAAGACTAAGAGTCTAGACCTCATGTTTTGTAGCAAGTCTACTAAATGCCCAAAATTAAGTACCTAAAAATGTTAACAAATTACAGTAAAAAAGTAAAAGTAAACTCCAATGACAAAAAACCCAAATATATAAATAACTGCTTCTGTTCCTATTTTTCTCATCATGGAAAACTACCACTTTTTACCTTATTAAAAAAAAAAAATTGTTTCATAAGTGAAAGTTAGAAATAGCATAACAGAGTTAGGTAACGCAGGTCAGGTCAGATTCCTGCAAGAGCCAACTCATTTATTAAGGGCTAAGGGTTCCCTTTCTAAAAAATGTTTTATGTTATTATACATTCACTAAATTTTTTTCATATAATTTTGATACAATGACCAAGTCTGGGAGAATTATAAACTCATTCTTATTTAAAAATACAAATCTATGAAAGCTTAAGTAATTCACACATCAATATTTCTCAGTTTAACACTGCTTTCTTCCCAACCTAATTATTAAAACAGAAAAAAGCTAAAGGGAAAAAAAAATCAGATAAGTTTGGAAAACAGAGCATTTGAAGAAAAGGGGTTTGGCAAACTTTGGAAGGAAGATTTAGGCAAAATGAGGGAGAACATAAGGGAATTTTGGGAGAAGTACAAAAAAGGAAAAGGACAAGAAAGACAATATGGCTCCATTCAGTCTGAACATGATCTCAGGCTAGTTCTACTCGAATCTAGCTATGATTTATAATATCATTTCTATGAGAAATGTGAACAAGAAGATGGTATACATGCTAACTTTTAAAACACTAACCATTTAGGGGCCGGCCCAGTGGCACACTGGATAGTGTGCCGCTTGGGAAGCGCGGCAGCGCTCCCGCCCGAGGGTTCGGATCCCACATACAGACCGGTTCCCGCTCACTGGCTGAGCGAGGCGC